ATTTTTTAAATTTCTTAATTATTATTTTATTAACTTTAATTATTAAAGAAATTAAAAATTGCTCAGATAAATAAATAATTCAATGAAAATTGACAAGAAATCTTTGAAAAAATTAAGAAACCATTAAAAAATTTTGTGAATCTATTGTTTTTAAATTGTAAAACAATTACTCTCAAATTGAGGAGGGCCTCCAATAAAGGGGGTTTATTCCTCTTGAATAAAGTCAATATTTTATAATTCAAAATAATCTTAAGTATAAAATAGTTTTTTAAAAATTTAAAAAGGGTTTTTAAGTCAAATTTTTTTGTTAGATTTACTCTAATCATCTATTTTTCAAATTTTAGACATATCAACCAAAACTCAACGTTTGAAATTGATTCAGTTCGGCTTTTAATTAAAGAACTTAAAACCTCGTCAAACCCCACTTGTTGGTTATAATTTTAGTCAATTTCAGAATTTTCTTTTTCAGTTGTAGATTTTTTTTTTTTTTCAATTGTAGATTTTTTCCCCCACCCCTATTAAACATCTTTCTCCCTAATTTTTCACAAAATGGTTATTCAATTTAGAGTTAAGATTTACTTATATATAAGTTTTACGTATTATATTTATATAAAATCTTACTAATTAATTTGTTCACTTTTAAAAATTGAAATTTATTCACTTTTTATTATATTTATAATAATTAACATTTTCATCTAACATATTATGATAAATTTTAATCATTAAAAATAAAAAAATAAATAATTAAAATTTTATATAAGTATAATGTATAAAACTTATGTATAAATAAATCATTATTTTTAATTTAAGTCATCTTCAACGGTTCAAAAGAACTGCTTCTAGGTTAATAATTCAATATGCCCTTCTAAGTTCAAACCATGGCAGCACATTGTTCCGTCAATTTCCATTGCCTGAGATTTTTCCCAAGTAGGTCTATCTAGACTTCATGAAAATGAGACTAGAAAAATGAATTTCCCAAGCGTTAATATTATTTTGGGTTAAGTAAAACACAATCCTTTGACATTCAAAAGTTAGCGGATTTCATCCTTAATTATTTTAGGTCGCTTTTGGTCCTGCCGTTAAAACTTGTGCTTATGTGGCAAACGGCTGTCCCATAAATATGAATTTTTTTTTAAAATTATTTCAAGATAATATTTTTACATAATTTTAAATGTTATTAATTTTTTTTATTTACTTGATCAAACTCATAATATTACCCACATTTATTTATTTAATAATATATAAAAATTATATAAAAAAATTACTTCTCCATCCATCTTTTAAAAAAATGGGCCGACAATTAGAATTTCCTTCTTCCCCTTTCCCCTTCTTTCCTCTGCTTTCTCACTTCCCCTCTCTCTCCTGGGCTCCGCCGTGATCTTCTGAGGTCGAAATCCGGAATGAATAAAAGTTATGCTGATGTGGCAAATGCTTTCCTTCAGATTTTCTTTTGTTTTTGTATTTCATTCCCTTCTTAGTCTTCTCACGCTCCTCTGTGTAGGGGACTATGATTACCCCTATCATTATAATTCATCTAGTTTTCTCCGAAGCAGCATAACACCACCGCTGGACGAGAACCCAACACCGTGCATGGCCTCTCTCTGTCGCGGTCATATTACAACCGAAATTTGCCAGAAGTGTATCGCCTCTGCCTCCATCGATGTAGCTCAGCGTTGCCCCACTGGGTATGAAGCTGTAATCTGGTATGGGCAGTACATGGTCCATTATTCTAACCGGTCGATCTACTCCGTCATGACCACTGGCCCAAAGGAAGATTTGATGATCAGTCGGGATGTTCTAGAACGAGTGACTCAGAAGTTTGCGACCAAAGAAGTGAAATTTAACGAGTTTCAAGACGTGTGTAGGCTCGCGCAGTGTACGCCAGATATTTCCGGCGACGAATGCAACAGATGCCTTCAGTTTGCCATCGGAGGCTTACCGGAATGTTGCAGCGGGAAAGAGGCAGGATTTGCATTGTACCCAAGTTGTATTCTTAGATATCAAATTACCCCTTTTATTACCAAACCGAAGCTGCAGCACCGCCGTCTGGGCAGCTACTCGACCTCCTGTAAATCCTCCATCTCCAGGTCAGGTTATTAAGGAAAAAAAAAAAGGCTGAATTCGAAAGGGAAAAAAATCAAAAGGGATAAATTTGTTGGGTAGACTGTAGAGGATTGATTAACAAATTAATTTGTGATAACTTTGTAGGGATTTTGAATTTTAAATATGAAATTCGACTTTCTTCTTTACATAGGAAAAGGGCAGATTAATCCGGTACCATTATCAGCATTATTGTTTCAAGAATTCGTTCCTCGGGTGATTTTCTCCATTGGCTTGTATTGGATACTAATCTGGAAAGCAAGGAAAAAGAAAACTAGACAGCTAAACAAAGATAATGGTATATGGTGAAATGCGTTTATTATATGTATATTCATACATTATTTTACTTGCTCTGGGTTAGCTCAGTTACTATTGTTATTGTAGCTTTGTTTTGGTGTGATTTTCAGTTGGAAGCAAAACGGGGGACCAATATTACAGTTTGATTTTTGTATAATTGAAGATCCCACAAACAACTTTGCACATGCTAACATGATTGGTGCTGGTGCATTTGGCGGGTTGTATAAGGTGAGGATTGTTTGCAAGTTTGTTGTTCAATTCAACAATTATTAATTGATTCTAGATTTTGAAAAATCTAAAGCTGATTGCTGAACTGAAGATGGACTGTTTTAAGAATGACTATGGTGCTTTTAATCAGGGGGTAATTGCTAATGGACAAGAAATAGCGGTGAAGAGGCTATCAAGAAGCTCTGGACAAGGTGGGGAGGAATTTAAGATTGAGGTTGTACTGTTAGCCAAGCTTCAGCACCAGAATCTGGTTAGACTGTTAGGATTTTGAACAGAATGAAAAGAGAATGCTAATTTATGAATTTGTTCCCAACAAAAGCCTTCACTACATATTTGGTCAGACCCTTCTTAACATGTATCTGTATTAAACTTTCTTTTCTACAATAGAAATGCATTTTAACTTGTCAATCCAGTTCCTAAGTTGCAATATAACGTGTACAGATCCTGAGAAAAGAGCAGAAATGGATTGGCCAAGACGTCACAAGATAATTAAAGGGATTGCTTGGGGCCTGCTATATCTTCATACTGATTCAAGGCTCAGGATCATACATCGTGATCTAAAAGCCAGCAACATGTTTGTTGGACGAGGATATGATACCCAAAATTTCAGATTTTGGCATGGCAAGAATTATTGAAGAAAATTGATCCCAAGAACCTACAAAGAGAATTGTTGGTACATGGTAAGTTCCCCATCTCAAAATCTTTCTGCTCTTGTTTGGTGAATATTAACCAGGAACTCCTTTTCATTAAAATGTTATAATTCCATATTACAGTGGCTACCTCTCTCCAGAGTTTGCAATGCATGAGAAGTTCTCTGAGAAATCAGATGTGTTTAGCTTTGGTGTGTTGATGCTAGAAATTGTGTGCGGCAATAGGAATGCAGGCATCTCTAACCAAATTATGCTGAAAACCTTCTAACCTACATAAGTAAATGCCAAAAAAAAAATATATATATATATATATATCTTCTTTCAATCTGTAATTTCTAATGTTATACCAAAATTATGAGAGCACAATTTCTTGATATTTTCCAGGCATGGAGGCATTGGAAAGATGGGACCTCACTAGAATTGATGGATCCAACTTTAAGAGATTCTTATGTGATTAATGAAGTTACCAGGTGTACCCAGATTGGATTGTTCTGCATTCAAGAAAAACCAATACCAACCATGGCAAGAGTAGTTCTCAAGCTTAGCAGCACATCCGTTACTCTTCCTCACCTCAACAGATTGCATTCATCTTTGGCAGTATCACAGGAGTAAGCAGTGCAAGTGTGGAGCAGGAGCCAAACAAAAATGCGAAAAATTCAACCTCTTTCTCAGAAGACAATACCCCTGATCATGTACAGCATTATAGTATTATTAAGGGATATAATACTATTCAATTATTCTTTGAAGTTATTGAATGAAATTATACTTGCCTTGGTTTCCTTGGTTCAGGGATTAAGGCCAGGAAAACAGTTCGAAGTTAGAACTAAAGAGCAAGATTAAGGACGGAATTGAGATAACATAAAATGTTAAGGGCATAAAAAGTTGTTTTTCCACTAGTTAGTGGAGCTGGAAAATGTGTCTTGTCTTAATATGCTGATTTTTCTCCCGTGGCCTTTGGGCAATCTATCATTTTCCACTCGTATATTATACTCTGTTGGCTTTTACACATCTTTGAAGATAAAAATCAAAGTCCTCCAACAATCCATATCACACATCGTCAACTTCTCGTACCAATGTTGTCAATCTAATGCTAGTTTTTAGCATTTCCGGAAAATAAAAATTTCATGTTGGTCTTAAAATTATGTTTAGGGTTGAAAAAATTGCCTAGGCCAGTTGCTTAATAGGCTTATTGGTCAAATAATACAAACCCGTTGCAGTGTTGAAGAATAAGTAGTTAATCACTGAAATAATACTGTTCCTAGTCTAAAACTCTATCGAGAATCTAGGTCGGAAATTGAAACATTGTTCACTGTGAATTAAGCTGGTCCATTTGTGGATGCCTCTGGCTCTATGACAGAGTGCATATAATATGCTGGTTTTGATGGCAATGGCAGAGATGATCCAGGGCTGCTACCAAGCATCAAAACAACAGAAGCCATGGTTGGTCTTCTGGCAACATTTGCCTAAACACATAGTAGGCGTATTTGGATACATCTTTTCATTTCACCACTAGAACCATCCCTCATAATGGGATCTATTAAATTTAGAGCTGTCCCCTCCATCCAATTTTTCCATGCCTGCAAAGATTCAATCATGTGTGGATAGTTAAATGAGAATTCTACACAATTTCTCAAATTCATTTCAATAAGCTTCATCAATTCCTACTACACAAGAAACTCACAAAAGTTAGAAGATCCTCCCCATCTTCCCCAATATTGAGATGAATTTTTGCCAACTGATAATTTGTAAAACTAGCACGCCTCAAATTTAATTGAAATATGCCCCCTCCTTATGTCTTCTGGAGTTATATATCCATTGAATGCATGAAGAGCTAAGTTAAGATTTATTAATTAACTGAAATGTGTCCAAGGTTTCTTATAC